TTTTTTGGGAAGCATGAGATGAAAAAAATGAGACATTTGATTAAAAAAGAATACTTGGGAAAATCTGGATCAAAGAAAATGCAAGTCTTTAAATGATAAGGGTCGTTGGAAAAAATCTCAAAAATTACTTTGGAAACAATTTCAAAAGCTTTCAGATTGTAAATGTTCTGCTCCAAATTATAAAGTAACTAACCCGGCTGGAATATCTGTTTGTTACCAAATTGCTTCACTTAATAAAGCTAGCGGTGGCTTTATTGGTAGCTTTACTGTATTCAGGTCGTTAAAGTATGATGAACTCAAAGGAAAACCTGCTTTAATAGCTATCAAATACGACGAAGATATAAAAGTGAAAATTGGCAGATCAAATAAAAATGATGATGGCTTTTTTAACTTGAAACCATTATTCACTTTCAAAGTCAAAGGCTCTGGTGGAAATATAATATTGGTCAGCAAAGCTTTCATTGAGGGACAACTTCCAAGTAAAAAGTCCATGAATAAAATATGCATAGATGATATCAGCCCCGTAAAATATAAGGTTAAAGTTAAAGTAGGCAAAGACACTAAAAAAGTTTTCGGACTTAAATTGGGCTCTGATGTTAAAAATATTCCAATCTCAAAATTCATACCCTCGAAACCATATTCTCCATACTTGATTGAGCCTTCTCCAATTAATAATCCAGATAAAAAGAAAGAACAACCAACTACAACTACCCAGTCTCAAGATCAACCAACTGAAACTAGTCAAAGTCCAGATCCCAACCAGTCGGCTCCAACTAACACAGTTCCCAACCAACTAGCTCCAACTAACGATCCCAACCAACAAGCTCCAACTAACCCAGCTCCAGCCGACACAGCTCCAACTGACGCAGCTCCAATTAACGATCCAAATGCAACTAACAGTCCAGATCCAACTCCAGCTAACCAAAATTCAAACCAGCAAGATGCTAATAGCTCAAGTGCAAGTCAGACCGCGCAAGTTGCAAATGCAGATTCTACTGCTGCTGCTGCTAATGATAGTGTGCCAGGATCGTCAATAAGCACCCCACCAATAGGTCTTATAGTATTTGCTGTTGTGGTAGCCGTTGGAGCAGCATTTGTCGGCTACACTACTTATGAACGACGTAGATACAGAAATCAATTTAATCGTAGACAAAACATGCAACAACAAAATCCTTCTTTAGCTGCTGTTCCTGATTTTGGCAGAGCCGTTTAAAAAAAAAACCAAATAAATATAAATTTAGAATAATAATTTAAAGCAAAAAAAAACAATTTGTAGAGTTAATAATTTCGTTGTTTATTTTTTTAAATTTTTTTAA